TAAGTTGCACCAGGGAAGGTTTAGATTGGATGCTAGGAAAAATTTTGTCACCAAAAGAGTGGCCAGGCATTGGAACAGGCTGCCCAGAGAGGTGGTGGAGTCACCATCCCTGGAGGTGTTCCAAAAACATGTAGACGTGGCACTTTGGGATGTAGTTTAGTAGTTGTGGTGGTGTGGGGTCGACGGTTGGACTTAATGATCCTAGAGGTCTTTTCCAACCTTAAGATTCTATGATTCTATGATACTCTTTGCCACTATTTTGGTCAGAGAAATATAATCAGATTGCTATATAAGATAAAATATGTGTATTGAGACAGAAAATAAGCTCTAGTGTCCAGAAACACATCTACCTTGATGTAGGTTTACAGCAGTTACAGGAACCCAGCTATTTGTCTCTCTCTGCGTCTGGGAAAAGGCTGGGCTCTCTGTTGATAAGGTAGTATTTCGAGGCTTGAGAAATGATGATGCCTGTTGACCCTGTTCATATAAGCTTGGCTGATTTTCACGCTTGTCGTACAACTTCTTAAGTTACCTGGCTTTTTTTTCAGTGGAAATCAGTCCTCGCAGGAGGTAGATGGAATGTCCCGGATTCCAAGATCTAGAAATATAAACACTAAAAGTCAATAACAGAAAGTATTCTGTTTATGCATTTCAGTAAGCTTTCTTGGGCTTTTTCTAGTCAAAAGTTCCAGTCTCAGATTGCCCAGGGAAAGAATATTGTTCGCTTACTTGGTCTCCTATTGTAATGCATCTGTATACTTTTCTGTAAAGTGAATATGTACTTGATTCATGGGCTTTGAATCTTTATTAATGATTGAACTGAGGTGTTTGATAAGTTGCAGATTTTTTTTTTAATTGGAAGTTTAGAATGAGATGGCTAAAGTTAATAGCGTCATCCTTTATACCAAATATATTTTTTGCAGTTATGGTAGAATTTTCTGGGCCGTTACAAAACCAACCATCTTACTAGAGTTTACTTTTCTTAGCTATGCAGAAAACTTTAATTCCTTTTTATACAAGTGAATGTTTCCAAAGAGAATCAAAAGCCAAGCCCCACTAGAGTGAGGTAAAACACACACCAAAAAAAATCACAAACCCCAAACTTTAGTCTTATTTACTTACTACAGTGTTGATTGGTACTACTTAATGCACAGATATATCCAAACTGTGGATTTTTCTTTCATTTGAGCAGTAATTGGTATTAGAGAATGGTATATGTAGTATATAAAGTACCAGCACTTAACCCTGAAATTGATATTTACAAAAATTTGAAAATCAGTTGGCTATGAATGTATTCCTGAAAGCCTGTCTGGGCAAGTGATGCGTTATGGTGATATATAATAGAAATAATCAATGTATGTTGATAAGATTTTTTTTTTCCCTAGTTTTATTTTGTGGTGTTGTAAAATTGAATGGTGCTTTACCCATCACAAAAAGTAACCCCGTATTTGGAATTCTGGCTTGCTTTTCCCTGAGTCTGTAATCTTTGGCTTCTCAAAGCAAGGCTGAGTAGAGAAATATAAACAAGCTTGGAGTGTTGTTTTTTTGCTGGGTAAAGAGCAGAGGCTATAAGGGTTATTTTTTTAAGGTCATTAAAATTCATGGCTTCATCCCATATTCTTATTGTGCAAATATTTTAAGCTGTTCTCTTGTAAACTTTGCTATTTCAAGTATGTTTAAATAAGAGTTATATCATAAAACTATAACATGCATATTTTCTTTTTCTTTTTTGTAGTAGTGGGCGTAAAATATAAGTTAGTAGCTGGCTTAACAGTTTGAGCTGTATTTTTATTTCCTTCCAGTTATTAATAATTTTTTTTTCTTTGTGATAGGAACCAGTCACTGCATTTACATCTGAAGCACTATGGTGTGAACTGTGATGACTGGTTGTTACGTCTCATGTGCGGAGGAGTGGAGATAAGGACAATTTATGCGGCTCACAAGCAGGCAAAGGCTTGCCTCATTTCACGACTAAGCTGTGAACGGGCTGGCACCAGATTTAACGTTCGGGGAACAAACGATGATGGTCATGTTGCTAATTTTGTTGAAACAGAGCAGGTATGTTATGCTACAGTGCACATTGCTTGGCTGATAAGCTCAAGATAAGCATATGTGTGGATAGGGTTTTTGCCCTAAATCAACAGATCACAAGTCAAGTCTGTAACCAACAGATATTGGAATAATTCCTTTGCTGCTAAATAAGGGATCTAAGTAGGTTACATAATTTGATGATCTTGGTTTTTAGTGTAGCTTAGGGTAAGGGCATGCTTGGGTCTGAGTTTCAATAGGTTAAGAAGCTGTTATCCACCAGCTGAACTGCTGTAGGTGGCTGTACTTCGTTTTAGCCTCCTGGGCTGTAGGTGAGTGTGTACTTCTTTTCACCTGAGCTAATAGTAAAGTAAAAGGTCTTAGAAACAAGCAAAAGAGATTTTTGGCAAATACGCGGTACCCTGTGGTTCAGGAAAGATAAAAGAATTCCTATGGTTACTTAACACAGATCCTCTGAAAGGTAGTTTTTAAAGCCACTGTAATTCCGCTGCATTTGATGGCATATCTTTGCCCTTATTATACAGAAATGCAAGATGCTATTAAATCATTCTTTGCTGGCCTTTCTTTCCTTGATTCTTACAATAACCTAGTTACCAGGACATTGTTCCTGCATCTGCGTTCATGTGAGTAGGTATCTTTGGTTGACTCGCTGATGCTTTGCAAAGCCTAGGTGACTTCAGTAGGATTTTATCCAGGAAGGGGTCTGCTTGTACGCTTCCAATTTCAGGAGTTTAGTCAGAACACTGTTGTTAGAGTTTCTCTGTCCAAGTTTCCTGGCAGGCTAATGTCTCTAGATGACTATGGCATATCATTCCACTTAGTTTTCTTTCCTTTCCTTTATGCTTAATAGACAATTGTATTTTGGATTCTGATGCACAAATTGGTGCAGGTGTTTTGAGTAGGCTGCATTGATATTTTTGGTGCATTGGTGTACGTTTTAACTTCCTGCAGGAAGGTCTTATCAAGTGTTAAAAAACAAGCTACTCCTAGCACAGAAGTCATTCAGCCCCAAATAATAAAACCTTGCTATATTTTCTTAGGTGTTGTGAATCATGATTCTGCAAGGAAGCATGAGAGTGCCAGAACTTCTTTTATGAATTATTCAGAAGGGATAGAGAGAAAAGTCTAGGGAACACAATTAATATTTTAGCTTGTAGTGTGGAGTATGTAATATGTAAATACATTTTATTTACTCTATGTTTAGCAAAGGCTAAGAAACCTAAAACCTTACACTCTGTAATACCTATTAATATTATGCTTTGCTTTTTTTAACAGGTGATATTTTTAGATGACTCTGTGTCATCTTTCATACAGATTCGAGGATCTGTTCCATTATTTTGGGAACAGCCAGGCCTGCAGGTAAGCAGGAGATAGATTTAATTATACAGATAATTCTTATTCATGTCTTTTTAAACATCTTACAGTAGTATGTACGCTCTTCTGCACAGTTACCTGTCAGGATGAGGTCACCCTTTAGGAGCAAGTTGGTGCTATTGTTTAATTCACCAAGCTTGCTACTCTCAAGTCTCTGAATGCTGTTTTGCACAAGATTTGAATGTCCATTGCTTTTTAGATGTTTTCTCTTTGAAGTTCTGAGGTTTTCTGTTTTAATTTGAATTGCTATTTTAAAATAGGTTATCTAAGGGCACTCAGAGACACTGTTTTGTTCTGAATTGTTCTTGAGGATACGTTTTTCCAAGAAGTCAATATGGATCCAGAGTTACTGTCATATAATTTCACTCTGGTTTTCTTGAAAGAGGGATTGTATCAGCAACTACTACTGTGATACAATTTTTACAGGGAAGGTCAAAAAAGTTCATGCCTCACAGTGACTCTAGGTTCTTTAAACTAGGCCTATGAGCATTTTGCAATAGAACTGCTGAAACATTTGCATGCCTTTTGCTCAAAACAAGAAGTAATTAGGTGATATGACTAAGTATATTAAAAAGTGCTTTTTAGAAAAAAGGGGAAGAATTTAAGAAAAGCCTATAAAAAGAATGCATGCCATAGCATGCAGAATAAATTTTGGAGATTTCATTTAGAAAGTGAAATCAATTTTTAGGCCATATTTAGGATCAAAAGAGGTCTTTGAAGAATGATTAATCCAATGTGTAAAGACAAATAAATTTAATGTAATCTTCATGTCATAGGTGGGATCCCATCGTGTCAGAATGTCAAGGGGGTTTGAAGCGAATGCACCAGCTTTTGACAGGTGAAAGAATGCCTTAAATTTTTGTTAATGCAGTACAAACCTCTGATAAGTGACGCATCAGAGGGATGGGATGTGTTATTCCAATGGGAGGCTTTGTCTGGGCAAATGTGTGATTCAACAAAGCAGTGAACTGCCTGGGCAGCTTTTTCAAACTTCTACACGAGTGCTTTGTTGAAAAGTTTGAAGAAAATTTAAAATAGTGGAATATTTTGTTAAATTGAAAACAAAAATTATAGCATGTGTACATTGAATAGTCTATATTTGTCAGCTGCTGTATAAAAGTAAAATTTATATTTTTATTTTATTCCTGCCATGACACTTCATCTTCACAGCCTTGGGGGTTTAACTAAATGTGTGTTGTTAAATTGGTGCTATTATCCTAATTAAATAGCAGTTAATGGTTGTATGCTATTATTTAGTTACATTAATTTGTTTGGACATGACATAATACAAGGCTTGCGGCAGTTGTTAGAGTACCCAGTACATTTCTGCAGTGTCTCAGTCAGTGTTGCAGGTGTTCACGCTAATTTGCTGCCTGTCAGAAGAAGAGTGTGGAATTTTTCTTCTGTTCACAGACATTTCCAGACTCTTAAAAATTTATATGGCAAGCAAATTATTGTCAATTTACTTGGGGCAAAAGAAGGGGAGCACATGCTCAGCAAAGCTTTTCAGGTGAGTATGACCATTCTCTTGCTGTGCATATCTTTGGAATTTGCCTGTTTGCGATGAAGCTGTTATATAGGCTTTGAAAAATGAAACAGGCTATGCTCTGGAGCAACTACCACTTGTGGTTAACATTGTATTTATCACAAAAACACTGCTTAAGATACATAATGTAAACTGAATTTTTAAAAGCTCTGTGTACAATTAGTGTTTGATTATGTTCAGATTTGTTACTTTACTGAAAAAATTATAACAGCAACATAGTGTTATGTGATTTCCAGTTATTTTCATATTTCATGGTTATTAGTGGCTTATTTAAAAAATAAATCTTTTTTGCACCATAAAATCAGTGAATAAATAAATGATGTTTCATGATATTTAATACTGTGATGTTTCTTTTAAAAAGTCTTTCCCTTGGAATTCCTGGATATATTCCTTAATATTTTTTAGAAAAATCACAAATTAATTTATCAATTTAAACATAAAAGCTGCTTCATGATTAAATAGAAATGTTTATTCAGAAGATGTTAACTATAAGTGGCCATTTTCATGAATTCCCACTAGTTAGGCTAAAAATAACTGTCACATTGTAGTCCATAAATACCGACAGTTTGAGAAGTTCTGTCTGAAGCCAGGGAACATGTCAATAGCCATCTGTTATTTCCCTTTCCCTTTTCCCTTTGTATTATAATGGTTGAATAGCTTAGGCCATTCACTAGGATCTTTTCTGTATCCAGCTGTCCTGGCAGGAGATATCAGCGCTCCTAGATTACATGTCAGTGCCCAGTGCAGACCATAGCTTTGCCAACAAAGATTGTGTGAACACTTCAAGATTTTTCAGGGAGTATTAGGGAATTTTTTTGCTCAAGTCACCCTCCACAGCAACCTAAATAATTTGTCTGGTTTTTTCGATAGTAGCTCATGGAGTGTTTACTCCATCCCCATTGCTGGCAGGTATGTCTAAAATGGTGACTGTTAGTGAAAGGGGTTTCCACTGAAACAGCTCTTTGCGAATCAAAGCATTTTAACAGCAGAAGAGGCTGTAGACTGTCTTGGTGACCCCTAGTATTGTAAGGAAAAAACTGAGTTTGTGACAAGGGAAGGAAAAAACACAGGTGAAATATTAATCAGTTCTAAGTGATTTGTTGAACAATGGTGATACAAATTGGTGATACAAAAAATGGTTTAATTTTACCGAAGAGAAAGCGTGTAATAAACAAGATAGCTAATAAAACAGCTTTAAAAATATTTGTAGCCTCTTATTTAGCTTATACTACTATATGTTTGGATATTGGTATATTTATACTTTTTTCTTCTCTTTTTACAATGTCAGAGCCATTTGAAAGCATCTGAACATTCAGCTGATATCAAAATGGTGAACTTTGACTATCATCAAATGGTGAAAGGTGGAAAGGCAGAAAAACTACACAGTGTGCTTAAACCTCAAGTCCAGAAATTCTTAGAGTGTGGATTTTTTTATTTTGATGGAAAGGAAGTTAAAAGGTTTGTGTGTATAACTTCTGTAAATTTCTTCAAATTATTTTATGGTTCTGGGGTGCTTTTCATCCCTTAGCAAGAAGATAAGAGAAAAAAATGTTACTTCTGTTATTGTGCTTTTCTTATATCGAAGATGACGCTCAACAACCGAAATATGAGCCTCTTATTTTACTCTATTAAAATTTTGTCTCATTCTGAATATGCTCTAAAAATCTTGATGGAAAATATCTCTGAGACACTGATGGGGTATGACTTAATTTCAGGCCTTTGACCTCATGATTTTGGTGAAAATGGGCAATTGTCCTTTTTCTTGGGTGCACCCACATGGGATTAAAGAATGAAAAATTTCCATCTTCCTGTACAATGTTATTAGTTTTTTTCCTCAGCGATGGACAATACCATTTTCTGTTTGTTGTAAATGCTGATGTTCAGTGCAATTTTTCCTCTAAATCTGTTTGCACCTGGATCCCCCATTTGAGAGATTCAGTTCTCCACAAAGTATGAATAGGATGCATGTTTTCTGCCCTGCTCTGTACTTCCCAGTCCTGCTGGACTTGTACTTCTGTTCCTATTTCCCCACCTCTCTTCCTAGAGCAAAGGTTGTGCTTATCTCAGCAAGAAAAGGGAAGGAGGGATAGAAATAAGCAACACTCTCGTTCTTCTTCCTTCCACACCCTTCCTCCTCTTAATTAATGCCAGAGCAAACTGCTGGGTGAGGTTCTCCATGAGAAAGAGAATTGTTGCATGGGGAGATGGTGCCCCGTGCAGTGGGGTTTCATCTTCTAGTGCAGTGGGAGAGAAGAGGGTTCCAGCGCCATGCTGTGCTCTAACCCCAGGGGCAAGTTTTAGTAGACCTGAATAAGATTAGATTTAGGGGGAAGGTGCTTAGGTCGCATCTCCACCTCAAAACGTCATTGACCATTCTCCAAAAAGCTTTAAAAGTGGTGTGACGCTTTGTGTTGGGAGAACAGCGTTTGGTCTTGATGGAGATTCAAATAATATTATCACCCATCAAGAGGACTGACAACAGAACAAAAGCAAAATAGGCTGTGGCTTCTGATAGCTTGGAGAATTGTGCATTAATGAAGGATACAATGATGATTTTTTTAAGTTCATGGACCATCTCCTTTGGAGAATGTCAGGTTTTTTTCTAACACAGATAGCAAGTTGTTTTGTATTTCAAATCGAATGCAGAGACAGTAATGAAAACAATAATCTTGGAGAAAGTTCTTCAAAACTTTCTACAATTTCTGGTTAGATCTCCAAGTAAATGTGAGGAAGCCTTACTGACTTAATTGGACAAAGTGTGTAGTGGGAATGATAAAAGTAAGGAGTCAGTGCGTATCATGGGGAGAGCCATCAGAATTTTGTACTCCTAGCCAGGCAAGAACAACATGGATGTTGCCTAGTATGATCCTTCGGAGAGCTTTATAGCACCATTTAGTGGGCTTCTCTCAAAGAAAGGGGAACAGTTCAGAGTGCCTGAGGGCCACAAGCATCTGTGGAGCTAAGGGGGAGAGGCTTATTTTTCATTTTTATTTGGGGAGGAAAGAGCAAGTAATGAGGGGTTGAAATTAGCTTTAGTTTTATTACAAGTTCTTGTTACTTTTAGTTTAGTTCAACAAATCCAAGAACTGTCCTAATTTTTTTTTTTCATTTTTGTTTTAACTAAGAGTTATTATTTCCCTCTGAGATTCTTGAGAAGTGTGTTAGTTGAATTGTTTGAAAAGAAAACTTAATCCTGCATAACACTTTAACCGAGCAAGCAAGGAGAATTGAGAAAAACTGAAGAAGATAGACTCATGTTATTTGCAGAAAATAAATTAGTTTTGTATAGTGAACGCCGCTGCAAAATTCACTGCTGTTATTGGAGCTAACCCTCTATTGCTGACGCATTTATAAACATACTTGTGATGACAGTAACGTTGCACTGACAATACCCTGATTTACTATTCTGGTTCAGATCTTGATGTCCCTGTCTCTGTTGATATGTACGTTAAATGAGTTATTTCAGTTGTTTTCTCTCTCTCTGTCTCTCGTTGTCCTTGGCACAGATCTCAAAGCGGTACTGTCAGAACAAACTGCTTGGACTGTCTGGATAGAACAAACAGCGTGCAGGCTTTCTTTGGCTTAGAGGTAGGAAAAACAGTGTCCAGATACACAACTAACTGCTCCTGATACTTCTGTAGCAATTAGGCTGTAAAAGTAATATTACCTTCCTACGAAAGATGAATTAAAATGTTTCATAAATGGCAGCTTATATTTATAGTGTGATACTTCTCTTGTTCTGAGGCAACCAGATCTTAGCAGTTCCAGAAGCAGCAGTTGTATAGGAGTTGTAATTAAACAGTAGTGATGCAGCATTATGAAAAATGTTCCCTCTTTTTTAGGTGTCAGTTTCTTATGTCTGTTAAGGTTCAGGCTTGCAATTCTAGAAGAGGTAGTAGCATTGTAGTCCTTAACAAAAACGCTTGCATTCACATTTACTCTATTAGATGAAGTTTTTCAGCATGTAGGATTACAGTTCTTAGCATCTGCCAGTGCCATGTGTTCGTATTTTAACAGCACTATGCTATGAATTCTTCATGGGATAATACCGTGGTTGAAGCTTTGGCCCCGCCTGGATTGAGTCGTTGGAAATTAACTGTGAGATTCAGTCGGTTGGGCTTCAGCATATTGGCTTGCTATTGAAACAAAGGTTCTAGCCTATGGGCTTATGGAGTGGAGCTTGAACCCATGAACCTGATAGGAATTGATGGAGTCAAATAGTACTGATTGGGCTAAAGGAGTAGCTCTGAAAAACTTTTGAGAGCTCCACTCATCTTAATAAACTAAGTTTGACTCTTGAACATGCTAAAGATTTTATGTTTAAAAATGAAAAATTATGGGTGCTGTGACACCAACCTAAGTAAAAGGATTATTCTTCTGTTTTCTGAATTTTATTTAATTATAATGCTCTTGGTGTAGCATCTATAGGAGGAATTTCTGAGAGAACTACAAAATCCATTGGCTGTAGAAAAAACATTTCTGATTCTGGAATACATGGTGCTTTGCTGCAGTCTTTACCAAGTGAACACTGTTGCCAGTTCATTGGCATTTTAGGGAAACGGAATACTGAACTGTTTACCCTCATGCAAATACTCTGAACATTTTTCTCTTAGCATTCAACATCAGTACATACTGTAGCAGATACAACACAATTTCAGAGATAATGCCTTTTTCTCCATTGTTTCAGTTCTGCATGTACCATAGGGGGTCACACCTTTTAATTACTGAAATTAAGAAAAGTAATTATTTTCTTTAGTTCACTGTGTATTGGAAGCAGTAGTGGCATGCTTCGAAAATCTCACAGCATTGTATTCCATTATGTAGTTTGTGTGTCTGTCCATCCTGTATTGACTTTGCCATGGGAAAGAGAAATGATTACCTTAAAGTCTTTCCTAGTCCTCGGTCTCTTTGCTGGAGTGTAACAGTTCCCTGTAGATAGAAATGCAAGTTTGAAGTAAGCAATTAGGTTATCTTAAATGAGCCTCTTGTATTTTACTGATAATACAGTAGTTTTTTATGGCATAAGAACAAATCTTTATATGCTCTTAATGCATATAGTACTTATATGGCAAACTTAGTGTTGCAGGTCTACTTTTTCCCTTTCTTATCCTTTTAAGAATTGGATTAAATGTAATTTTTTTTTAGTTCAGGTTTGCCAAGTTTTTCCTTGGTGAGAGCTAAATTATTATTTCAGCTAAAATATGAGAGCTAAAAGTATGAAACTAATTAATGAGGAGGAAAATGGTAAAACCTCATGAGCTGATTACTTAATTTTAAAATTCTATTTAAAAGAGATATTTAAATTCTTACTTTTTTAACATGATAGATACTTCATATAACAAGTACTGAGCTCTGGATGACCACCTGAAATTACAAGATGAAGCACTCGATTTCTGAAGCTTCTTTTCTTGTTTATTTCTACTTTGTCTGCAAATTTTCTTTTGTAACTTTTGTTAATTCCTGCCCAACCTTCAGAATTTTGCCTTTATGTCATTTTATGTTCACTATTTTAGACTCCTCCTTCTTGCCATTGGACACCTCAAGGTTTTAAAGATTTTCAAAAGCTCTTGAAAATAGCTTTTTTTTAAATTTAGTTTTATTTTTTATGTTTATTTTCACTATTATGTTGGTAGCCACAAACACTAGAAACTTACTTGACTTTTTAAAAAATAATCATGATTCCATAAACCAGGATTTCAGACAAGGTACAATGTCCCATTCTGCATCCATGAGCATATTGCTACATTTAAGTAATGTATTTATATGTGTTATATGTATATAATTTAAATGCCTTTAATGTAGAGTGTACATCATGTAAAATTTATTCAGGTATATTGATTGTAGTATGTTACACATGAAAACAGAATGAATGACAGAAGCCGTTGGTATTTCACTGATCACAGAGCTCTGTTGCTGCTGCATTTGATAGTAGAGATCAGTGTGTTTGGTATTACACTTTCTTGGGAAGAACATGAATTACTCTAATTCTAAAATACGTAAGTAGAAAGACTTGAGAACCAAAAATAGCTTGACCTTGTAACTAGCAAGTTTTTGGATGAAAATATTTATAAATCAACTACGTAATTCTTTTCCTATATTACGACCTATCTTTAAAAGAAAATTAAATGCTAGTGCTAAAGCTACACGTACGATGCAGCCTTTCAAACATGACACGGTGTCAGTTTGTTCAGAATGACACATATAAACCAAAGATTTTTTTTTTGTTCATACATTGTCCCAAAAGTGGGATCGTTTACCCAGTGTGCAGTACGCCAATATACACACAGAGCAGAGGGGGTTTACTTCACGTGCAGGCATGAGTGCTTGGTGGTAATTCCACAAAGCTAGCGCACCACACACAGAATCTACAACATATTTATCTTGTTACAGGATTAGAAAAACTCGCCTAAATTGACGCTAATTGGTTATTAACTACCACATCATCTACTATTGGTCAAGCATATTTAAATTAGCACGCATGCTCCTTGAAGGTGTGGGGGGGTAATTTGCATAGTCCTTTAATTGGGTGGGTGGTCACAAACTCCCCCAGCCACCTTTCCCTGTCCCCTGGTTACTGCTGATTTTTGTTGACTTCAGGCCTCTCTGGCAATCGCCCAGCTCTCAGCGCCTTCTGGGGCAGGATGTTTCCTCTTTATCAGTTTTTCAGCTCTCCTTCAAGGGTACTCTTTAGCAAAACATACTTTTTTATCAGTCTTTTGGCTCTTCTTCAAAGGTGTAGTCGTTAGCAAAGCAAGGTAGTGCATTTAACCCTACATTAAACAGTGTCTAAGCACTAACCCAAACACATTTCTGTCCCTGTAAAGTGGAAAATGCTACTTTATAGATATCACATATATGCTGAAAAAATATGATGTACCTTTTAATAAACACATTTAAAGATTTTTCTTTTGCAAATGTTGTCTTCAACTGTTGCAGATGCTAACAAAACAACTGGAGGTATTAGGACTAGCTGAGAAGCCTCAGTTGGTTACTCGCTTTCAGGAAGTTTTCCGATCCATGTGGTCTGTGAATGGTGATTCTGTCAGTAAAATTTATGCTGGAACTGGAGCCCTTGAAGGAAAAGCTAAGGTAAAGTACATTTTAATAAAAACTTTAGCAGTGTTCATTATGGGTTTTAAAAAATTCTGTCATTAATATAACAACTATGAGATTTTCTTTTTTAAAATGTGCTTTTAGTGTAATCCTAAAAAAAACCCAAAAAAACCAATGAAACAAAAAAAATTAACATAAAAAGGTTGGGTATGTTGATAACCGGATCTTGTTTCAGTACATCCTTTCTCAGCCATGCCCATGCCTCCTAGATAACACCATTCTGTAGGAAAGGATGAGGCTCCAAACTTTTATTTCTTTAGATCATAGTTCAGAAAAATGTATATTCAAATCAGCTTTAGTTTCTTTGAATATGTTCATTTTTCTCTCTGTACCTCTGCCTCCTATTGTTTCAGTTTCATTCACTATGTTTCCTTTCTTTTAAAATGTGTTTCACTGGATGTTGTGGTTCCTACTTTCAGTGTTTATTAACAGTGTTAAAATTAAACAGGTCACAGCTGGGTGGTTTTTGTTTGCATGTTCCTTCAGCTATTTCTTTTTAGTTTTGCAATTACTGGAAAAAATCCAAATTCTGTTTCTACTTTGCTTTCTAATGTTGTGATAACAATTCCGTACTACGTGACAGTGTAATGTGCTGTTTCTCTTCACCTTGTTTTGTCTTTGTTGATGCCTGAGTTGTTCAGATTTTCTAATGCTATCTTTTATTTTTCTTCTAACAATGTTGCTTTTTTTGTTTCCATAATTCTCTCTCTTATCAGGTGATACCTGTCAAGACAAACAAATGTTGAACCATAGCAAATTTTGCCCTTAGTTCCTTCAAGAATTTCTTTTCATATCATTCTTTTTATTCAAGAATGCGCTGCTTCTCATTCCATATTAAATAGTATGTACTCATAGTTGACTCTTGGTTTTCCATCAGTTATTCATTGAAACCGTAACAGGGTCCTTCTGTGCACATATACAAGGCATCGCAGTAAGCTACATAAAAAGAAAATAAGTAAAATAGACTTGTTGCTTATTCTACCCTTAATTGGTGCATACAAGACTGTCATTTGGGAATTGCTTGTATTTTAGTATAGAGTGGAATTTGGTTAAAGATGTTTAGTTTTATTTTCTTACAAAAATGTTACCCAGACCGTCAGGAAAACTACAGTAAGTATTTTATGGGGTGTCTCCCCTTCTCCTGACTTTCTCATTCAACCTTACTTGTTTCTTTTCCTAAATTAACAGTCTTCTGCCATTCATTTGGCTACTTAATTTTATTTTTTTTTTTTTACTTGGTAAAATGCATTTACTGTTTTTACACTCCATTTTTAATGTTTGAAACACAGAGTACGTTTACTCTGCTGTCTTTGTAATAACACAGGATCCCTGCCCTGGTACAACTGTTAATGAGTACCACATCTCATAAATCAAACTCAGCGTCCCTGACGGAAGTCCATCTGTTCGAAGAGGATCTTAAATATTTGCAAAGCCATACAATACTTGCCATTGTTTCAGTGAAACTTGACCAGGTTGCTACTCAATATCTTCTTGAGTACTCTGATAATATATTTTAAAATGTAGTTTTTTAAGTTGTTAGTTGTATTCTCATTTCTCAAATGAAAAGTTTGATGGTGGAAATTCTTCCATTTCTTGCTCATCAGTTTGATTCTTCAAAGTCCTAGAGTACTTAAAAATATGGAAATTTAGAATAGGGGAAAAAATATTTTAATCTTAAATGTGTTAATATATGTGTCTCTACTGAAAAGCAGTCCTTCTTAAAGTATTATAATACTTGTTACATCTAACTCCTTACCTACTCTTTCTTTTGCTTTCTCTGGGTTCCTTTCAATTAATTGCCTGATATGTGAATGGTGAGTGTGTTTTTTGGATCATGTCATAAGTTATAGATTGTCTGACAGAAAGGGAGCAGCATCCTATTAAAATCCTATTGTAATAGTATGCTCCCCAACACCTCATCCACATTGTCTTCCAAAAATCATGGTGCCAATTTACTACTACTTGTCCTTGGCAAGAGTTGTTTCTTTCCTGTTATCTAGTACAAATCATAGAACTAAATGATGGGTTAGTTTTGTAGTTTTCTTAAGCTTTTGTCTGCTATCCTTATGCATTTAAGAGACATTCATGAACAATGCAAGCTGTAAACTTGGAATATTTTTTATAATAATATAATACCATGCAGCATCCCTGATGGATTACAGTCTATATTTCATATACATGCAATAACGTGTTTACATACACCTCACAGGCAAAGTACACTTACATGCATAAGACACAGTAAACCATGTAATCAAGAAAATGTCTTTATGCCTGTCATTGTCAGTGCTGTGTACATGGATTCACAGTGCTGTGTACATGGTTGGCAGTGACCTCTGGAGACCATCTAGTCCAACCCCCTGCTAGAGCAGGATCACCTAGAGCAGGTTGCACAGGATCACGTCGGGGTGGGTTTTGAATCTCTCCAGAGAAGGAGACTCCACAACCTCTCTGGGCAGCCTGTCCCACTGCTCGGTCACCCTCAGAGTAAAGACGTTTTTTCTCCTGTTCAGATGGAATTTCCTCTGTTCCAGTTTTTGCCCCTTGTCCTGTCACTGGGCACCACTGAGAAGAGTCTGGCCCCTTTTTCTAGACACTCGCCCTTTAGATATTTATAAGCATTGTTAAGATCCCCTCTCAGTCTTCTCTTCTGCAGGCTAAACAGACCCAGCTCTCTCAGCTGCTGGTTTTCAAATCAAGTATGAGACTGCATGACATGTTGATTACATTATCCTCTAGGTGCCTGACCCACAGGGAGTATCTGTAGTAGCAGTACACCTCTTGGAGGGTCTTATTTAGTTCAGGTAGTTGGACACTGTTCTTTTGAAGCACCATTCAGTCGTGCTGCTTGTGTGCAGTGTGTGCAATGACAGTGTCTTCGTATGTAGGTAGCTATAGATTAGTGTATACGTTCCTTCTGGGATACTGCATGAGACTTGCATGTTATTTAAAAAAGGTAAGGGGTCTTAGTAAGTTGAAGCTACCTCTTTTTTTAACATGGATATTTCAGAATGTGAATTCTGAACTAATATGCTTATATGTGCATAGCCATACATATTCATGTATCATGACATTTGGACTCAAGTGCTTGCTCATCTCTCACTATTTGGGGAAAAACCCAAAATCCTGTATCATGGTCTAAACATGGCACTATCTCAGTTTAATTTTTGAAGACCAAGGGTTTAGGGGGAAAAAACCAACAACCTATTCCCCTCCCTGCAGTATTTTATTTAATTCAAATAATTTAAACTGGAATAATCTGGTTTAGATATGCCTTGATGGTATTACTGTGTTGTTTAGCATTTGGGGCGGGGGGTTGGAAAGCACACAGTACAGTAGACTCGGAAGACTTTATTTAATGCTTCAAGAAGCAAGTTGCCTTAGATTTTAAAATCATTAATGCAGTTTACAAATATGTTACTGAATATTGCCAATGTTATTGTGAGCAGTGTCCGACATAAAATATTTTATACGTATTCCTCCCTAACAGGCTGGAAAGCTGAAGGACGGTGCTCGTTCTGTGACCAGAACGATTCAAAATAACTTTTTTGATAGCTCCAAGCAGGAGGCCATTGATGTTTTGTTGTTGGGAAATACCCTAAATAGTGATTTAGCAGATAAAGCACGGGCTCTCTTAACCACCAGCAGTTTACGCGGTATGTGTCTTTCAGGATTTTAATCTGTCTGATAACTATTTGGTGTAAGAAAGCTGTATGGAGTCTGTTTTCAAAGCAATATTGGAAAGTATAAATGCTATTTTATGTTCTGTTGGCTTATTAAAAGATGAAAGTTACTTCTGCTTTACTAATATTTCCAAACTAACGTGCTGCAGTAATTTCTTCACTGTTTATGTTTTGGTGATGTCTGGTGGTGTAATAGGTAAATATTTGTGGAGCATATCTGTCAGAACTTTACTGTAGATGCATGTTAGATATGTTCTGTTCAGTTCTTCAAATCCATTTATAGCAAGTGTTAATCATGACAATTACATGCTGAATTTGGGGGAAAAAAACCCCCTGATTTATTAAAAGATTAGGGGGTTTTTTATTGTTTGCTAAATGTTATTCTTAATTTGATCTGTCATGTCGGTGAAGGAATTCTCACCGTGGTGTTAAACTAGATGGAAACCATTTATTCTTTTCTCAGGCTTGAGAATGGTGGTATTTGTCTTCCTTTTGGTTTCTGAGGTACTGAGGAACAAAAGGGGTTTTGGTAATGGAAGAAAATTTAAGATAACAGGAGCTATGAGAAAGTTCCTGATGAATGATTTTTCCATCACAAAATGTTTTTTTGTGAGAAGTCTTTCCCAGGAACGCGTGTACCACAAAACCTTGTCAGGCTGTGGGTGAAATTCTACATCAAAATCAGAGAGCTTTCAATAAACTGCTTAGGCAGAGCAGCTGTGTGCGATTTGGGTGGTCTGGTTACAGGAAGGTGATTCACCTGATTAGAACAGGGAGCTCAACCACAACATCCTTCATCCCCAAAGAGGGGTGTAGCCTACGTGGTCCCCAGGACTACAGTCATGTCCCATCCTTTTGCAGGTCTGATGGGCGGGGAAATTGTAAGTGGGCCAGGTGTAGGGCTGTGTTTAGAGTACTCTCCTGGGATATAAAAAATAGAGGAGCTAATTCTTGGGCCAAGAAGGAACTTAAATTTGAGTCTTCTTTCCAAGATCCCAGGTAAGGGTGTCCTAAATGGCAGGTTATTGCCGGTTTTAGGGATTAATAACATTCTTAATTTTTCCTTTTCTCCCCTGCCCCCCCCCTCCCCCCCACCTTCTGCTGGACACTTCTCAACCTAGAATGAGAAAAATGTGTCAAAACTTCAGTGCAAATCTGTGGCACCATAAAAAAAAGTTCATGCCCAATTGTACCTTCCTCTAGTGGGTATTTATATATTTCCTACGTGGAACCTGAAAGACTTTTCCTCTCCTTTCTTTACTGCAAAATTTTGTGTTATTGTAACTTTTCCTGTATCTGAAACCTGCTAAATCAGCCTCACCTCAAAATTAGTTGAAAGTTGTTTTCATTTCTTCTCACTTTCTCTGTGATTTGCAGCTCCTGTCAGCTGAGGAACATTAATCCCTCTTCTCTGAACATAATGTCTTTGCATTGTCTGCTAGGTGGTGAAATAACTAGAGAGATACTTCATCATATGTAAATCCATTATTAATAAAGCAAGAAAAGAGAATTTGTTAATACTGTTGTGGAACTTCTTAGATTTTGCAGCATAAAAGATGTGCTTTAACTGATGCAAATGGTTATGTGTAATAAATTGTATATCACAGCATGTTCTCTCACATATTGCTGGAAAATTTTAAAAACCAATTACTTATTTGACTAATTTTTTTCTTATTTCCTTCTTACTGCATCCGTAGTTTCAGAGCAATCATTACAATCAGGTATAGTATAGTAAATTAAATTGTAAATATCTGAGCAGCTATTGTTCTTCTCTGTCTTTTTTCCTGTGCCTATTTGCATAATATTTGGTTGTGGGCTCACATTTTCCTTTGGATCTGGCATTCC